ATGAGCCACACAAGAAGGACTGGGAATAGTCCTGAGCACTGATTCTACACTTGAGTAAATCCCAACCTTGTCCCCTCCTTGAGCACCCCAATTACAGCTCTGCACAGGCAGCACCACCCCACCAGAGCAGGCATGGCAGGCTCCCTGGGAATCCAGGAAGAGCATTTCTGCACAGATGCCCAGTTAGGAGAAGTGGAGACATCTGGAAACCATACTCTTTCCCTGTCCTTATTTCTCCTGATGGTGCCTGAGGAAATCCAGCCTGGAACGGGTCCCCACTCTTCATGAAAGAAGGCTTATCTCTTGATTCTTATATAAAACCTCCATTTTGGATGATGTGATTGGTTTTTTTTTTTTTTTTCATGAGAAAAGGGAAAATTTGCCAAAGCCTGAGATATGATTATTATCTCCGAGGGTTGTAATAAAGATCATTACCTATACATCAGAACAGCTTCCATTTGTGAAAAAGCTCATCAAGAATTAGGCTGCCAAGTCACAACCATAGCCATCAAAGAATATAGAAGAGTTCTTTTAGTGTGGTTACTGCTGATGGCACAAATCACTGAGACAGATGAGTATCATGGTTTTCAAAGTATACAGCATTCACTTCTCATCATGGCATGGGGAAATTTAAAACCATTCCTTTCTCCTTTTATTTTTCACCCCATTAATCATTCATCCTTTTATGCATTCATTAACTCAACAAAAATGTATTGAATACCTACTGTGTACCATGATACAGCAATAATAATAAAACAACAACGGCAACTACACCCAACACTCAGATTGTGCTTGCTTACTGTGAGCCAGGCACTAAGTATATACATTAGCTCATTTAACCCTGGCACCAATCCCCTGAGGTAAGCACAATATGCCTATTTGCACATGAGTGACTGAAGCACAGAAAGATTAATTCCCCAGGACACACAGTCAGTAAGTGCCAGAGCCAGGCTTCAAATCTGCATCTTTCAACTCCAGTGTCCACGCTCTTGCCCTCTATGCTATATAAAGAAAAACAGACAAGGCTTTATAGAACCTCAATGTACTGGAGAAGACAGACATTAAGTAAACACACAAACACACTATAATTTTAAATGCAAATGAGATCTATAAGAAAAGAGCAAGGTGCCATGAGATGGGATGGTAAAACATAGCAAAGGTTCTTCTTGCAGGCTAAAAATGCAGCAATCACCTCTGGTGATTCTCATTTCATCTAAATGATAAAGTTATAAAATTTAAGAAAGCAAGCTGTCTAAAAAACTTTTGGGAGAACTAAGGCTGGGAGGCTGTGGGAACTGACTAACCAATTTAGACCATAACTCTTGCCATAAATACCTGCCATCTTGGTGGCCCAAGAAGTTGGTACACTCAGAATGATGACAGATGAGGAATCTGGGGAATGCAACCCACTGCTATCCTCATCCCTCCTGAATAAGAAAATCCAACCTGGGTCAGGCGCCCCTTCACAGATGAAAGTGAAAGCGAGTACCTCCTCATCTGCTGCCATCACCCAAGAAATCCGTGGTGGATATCTACAAAACCTTCAACTCCACCTGAATACTTTAGCTTATTAAAAAAAAAAAAAGAAAGAAAGAAAGAAGAGAAAAGAAAATACTCCTTTGGCTTAAAATGGCAAACACATGGACTTCTGGAAACAATTCAAGGTATGGCTTAAAGTCAGTAAAAAATAAAACACCTTTATGAGATTGGCTATTAGTAGACTTGGAAACAAACTGAAATATTAATTTAAAGAGACAAGAACAGAGAAACAGAGAATCAAGTTCCCAGAGGGACAAACCCTTTCCATTCTAGTGAAAAAAAAAATCTGAATTTTATTACCCTGTTTGACCAACTATAGATCTACGCCTTTCCTTTTAGTGTTACAGAAATCAGACAGAAAGAAGAAAAGTCTCTCTTTTCTTCTCCAGAAGTTGTCTGTCTGTAGAATTGGGGAAGTTTTGCTTTTCTTATTGTCATTATTTAATGTATTATTTTTATGCCTTCAGTCTTTTTGTTAAGCACGGCCCCTAAGTACAAGATTACATCCAAAGGTGGCATGACATATTAGCTCCTAATTCTCTTTCCTTGTTTCATGCTACTGAGATTGATTAAGATTTAGAGGGGAGAGAGAGAGGACAAGGTGTTCATAATGGTGCATTAATTCTATGTGCTTCACACATCTAGACAGAGAAGCAACATCATTTTCAGGTTCAATAAATTAAGTAATTTTTCTGGTTCATGGTTGAGAATCATAAAAAGAATAATTCTTGATATTATAGTGCTACAAGAAGGTCTCCTGCTTCATCATCTGAGTGTATCATTTCATATACAATTTTATACTTTATTTGGCTCTGATTTATGATGTTACTATATTAAAATACTTAGATAACTAAGTATACAAGTGAATCATTTGACTTCAAATGAGGGATAAACAGTCTCTAATAAGAAAATGGTACATTAAGTCTCATCTTTCATATATATGGTACATTATGTCTCATCTTTCTTTTTGTTTTTCATAGCAAATTATACTTGAGATTAAACTATACTTGAGATTAAACAGTTAAACTATAAGTAGGAGAAGGCTAGTTAACAGTAAAGAGGAACAGTCTAAAGATTAGGAACTAACCTTACAAACTTTCAAAGTAACTTACAATACAAGTACATTATGTTAAATTTCTTCTTAGTGTTTTGAGACTCTTAGAAAACCTAAAGAACCATGGTAAATGTGATATTCTTCCAAAATATCTTCTGTATCTCGGCCCTTAAAAATCTGTGAATTGACTTTGATTCTTATTTGACCTGTCATCATAATCCATTCTGTTTTTATTAATATACTTCATCAATAAACAAAACAACACCCTATGGCTTACCTAAAAACAAAATACCAAATAAATCGCAAATAAAGGTTTTTCAAAGTATGCCACTTAAAGATCCAGATTTCTCCAAAATGAAGTAAATGTCCTTTCATCGTCTTAAGTACAAAAGTTATCACCACATTTTACATGACATGGAAAATAGGATAGTATATTTATGTCAAATGTCTGACGATGGCATTATACTTCACTACACCAGAATAAATTATTTTTGTGTGCTCTATTCCCGGAAAAGAAAAAAGCAAAACAAAATGAACAGCAACAACAAAAAATTGCAATAGCTGCAGTTTGCATTAACTTCAAAGCTGGTAATTCTTTCACCAAAATCATTTTCTTTATTTCCTTTTTAAAAAAAATTTAGAATTAGAGTATGAAACCTCATAAAAATCAAATATTTAAGAATATGCTACTGAGAAATCACCTGCATATTACTTTCAGACTTTTGAAAAACAATCTAATTTGAGTCACTGGTCTAAATAGGTCATTTAACTTAGAGAAATTAAAATTAGCTGTGCAGGGTCAATTCTTTTCCTACAACATCTGCATCCTGCATGTCCTATTCTCTTCAAAGTCAAACCAGAGCTAAGTGTCAAGAACAACCATAATACATGAATTGACTCCAAATCTTGAAGTTATTCAACTCTTGAAATAGCCATAAAAGTTCACATTATATATAAAAACACAGGCTGAGGGAGTGCTTCAGGACGCTGGGTTGGTGGCGGAGAGACAGGAGGAGGAAGGCTCTTACATTTCAGGAGGATTATGATATGTGTGGGGGGGTGGGTTTCTACTGGTGCTCATTTCTCACTTTCACATACACACTTTTACAGTACATGACAAATCAAAGTCAGCCAAGACACACTTAATGCAAAACAAATACTTCCATACAAGTTTAGTCTCCCACAAGCTTATCTTTTCTTATATCAAACCAGCAATATAAGATCATGAACCTTAACCCCGTTGTTTGGTGCCTTTAAAGATTTAATCAACCTGCAACACTCTGGTACACTCAGGAATTGAATCCCTACTCCCCAGAAAACCGTCCCAGGAATAGGATAAATGACAAAATCTTGAAACTAGCATCTTTAAAGAATGAAAACAATAACATAAAACAAAAGACAAATGAGGAAGTTTGGCTGCCTGAGACATTCAATATTCCTCCCAAACCAGACCATCCATAAAATCAAAAGGATCTCAACAATATTAGAATAGGAAGGTGTCAAGGATCCGAGGATCCTTGACTTTACAAGGGAGGTCATCCAGGAGGCTGGCATAGAAGGTATGGGCGTCAGAGGAGGTACAGTAAAGAGTCAGTTTCGTTTCAGGACACCTCCAAGCCACCAGGAAATGCAGCCCCCTCCTCATCCTTTTTGGGTTAAAAGTAACTTTGATGCTCAGAAAAAAGTGCTTTCATATTCTCTAGCTAGTCACAATCTATCATCCACAGGCAAAGAGTGACCAGAGATGCTAATGAAACAGATTTCCCTCTCTGCCCACTTTCCTAAAGCCACTTCCCAAAATGAGATCTTGAGAAATCCTGATTCCCTGAAGACCTCTCTCTGTTTAAAGATGAAATGAAAGTACCTCTGCACTGACAAGGACGCAAACCGAAGACTTGACATTGGGTTATTACTAAGGAACACTCTAAGCTACATTTTTCTTAAAAGGGTGAAAACCAAAACAGTACTAGGATTTATTCATCTCCAGATGTATGATAAAATATTTATAACTGCCCGGGACAGAGAGAAACAATTTTACTCCAGCCACCATCCTGCCCTCCCAGCCCAAGCAATGACAGAAACAGTCCCCGCGAGGGGCAGGGCAGGCTGTCTACTCCTTCCTTCCACTACAACTCTCCAAATCCGCTTTTCAGCCTCGCCGTGAGTCTTTCTTGAGTCCCTCAGCGTGCGCGCGCACACACACACACACACGCGCGCACACACACACACGCGCGCACACACACACACACACACGCGCGCACACACACACACACGCACAGGCACACACACACCCATCTCTCCAGGCTACCGCTTCCCTGTCCCCTGCATCTTTAGTTCTGAGCGGACTCGGCCCGACAACCGCCCTGCCTGCGGCGCGCCGCGTCCCTCTGGGTGGCGTCCCCAGCACTTGGGGAGGTTCATGAAAGCCTCGGGACGAGGCGCTAGTGCCAGGTCTGGGGAAGCCGGGGGGTGGGGGGGGTGGGGGGATCCGGCCACCCAGGGCTCCCGCCCCCCAGAGCCCGATGCCCGAGCGGATTAAGTTGCTCGGCACAGGGCGGCGCGCACAGCCCCCGTCCCTCCCACTCCGGCCCCTCCCCGGCTCGGACGCCTCGGGGTCCCCCGCCTTCGCGGAGGTGAGCGCGCACTCACCAGAGGTGAGCTGCATCCAGGCACAGATCTTGTACACGGTGGCCGTGTTGCAGAAGAAGAAGAGGGTAAAGCAAACGATGCAGGCGATGATGAGCATCATGGAGAGGCCGATGAAGAAGGAGGCGGCTTTGAAGGCGCCCGAGGGCAGCGTGGAGAAGTCCGTGAAGCTGCCCCTGCAGGTCAGCTCCCGGGAGAAGCCGTTGCCGATGCAGTAGTGGAAGAGCCCGAAATAGCCGGCTTGCGGGGTGTCCACGCCGTCGCCGATCCAGTAGGGCTGGATGAAGCACACCACGTTGACGATGGCAAAGCAGATGGTGAAGATGGCCCACAGCACGCCGATGGCCCGCGAGTTCCGCACATAGTTGGTGTGGTACAGCTTGGCAGCCTCCTGAGCCGGGAGCATCGCGGCGGCGGCGGCTCCGGGCATTCTCCCCCTCCGCCTCCTCCTCCTCCTGCTCCTGCTCCTCCGCCGCCCCCGCCTCTCCGCGCGCAGGAGACACTCACGGAGCCGCGCGCGGCAACTCCCCTGCCTGCGCCTCAGCCCAGCAGCGCCAGTTTCAGAGTCTGCATCCTCGCTCCCGGAAGGAGGGCGGGGGAGCGCCGAGCACCCCTCGGGCTCGCCTGGCACAGCCTCCCGGCCCCCTCCCTCTCTCTCTCCCTCCCTCCTGGCCCGGGCTCCAGCCCTCGTCGCCACCCTCTGCCCGTCGCCGCCGCCGCCGCTGCAGCTGCCGCAGCTGAAGGCGGCAAATCCCGCGCGGGGCCGCGTGGCGCGCGAGCCCGGGGCGCCCCCCCACGCCGCTTCCCGCCTCTGACCCAGTGCCCAGGAGCGCAGAAGACAGCGGCCACCCTGTTACACCTCTCAAGTGGCAGGCGCCAGCCGGGGGAGCGGCCCTGGATTGGGGGCTGGGGATTAAGGAGGGGACGAGAGCGCCCACAGCGATCCTAGAGGCAACCCCAGGATCCCGGTTGGTGTTAGAGACCGGGCTGGAGAGGCCGGTTCTGGGAGCATTTCATCACCGCACAGCAACGTGCTTCGACCTCTGCATCTTTGCAGAGGCGCGAGGGGCAGCGTGGCAGGTGCAGCGAGAGACACTGAGGGAGAGGAGACGTGCTGCCCCCGAGAGACTTCCCTGTCGCCACTGCGGAACTGCCCCTGGCTAACTCCTCGATTGCCTCGGGTCGACAGGTGGAGACAGAAGTTGGGCAGGAACCTGGCAGACAACCATGTAAAAGACAGATCTCAAGGGTGGTCTCATATCTGCACAACTGAGCTTGTTTCCTCTTCGCGTTTTTCCCCCTTAGGCAACCGAATGAGCCATAGCCAATGGATGCTCCATGCTTTCCTTTAAACCAAGTCATTCTTCCCATAAATTCTGCCGTAGATGGGGCCTGAGTGTGGAAGTGACCTTGTTACAGAATTTCATAGTTTGTTCGAAAACATTGAGCAGTTTGGCCAGTGCTACATTTATTACACAAATATACATTGGCAGCTGCTATGTGACCAGGCACTGTGCTGGGTGCTGCCGAAACACAGAGGACGGCAGCAAGTGATTGTTACTTGCCCAGGGATTTCCTCCTCCCCGACAACCCAAAGCTCCAGTTAACCAAAGAGTTGTTTTCAAGGTAATTCCCCCTGAACGGTCCGTATATAATTCCTTACATTTTCATGTGGCATTGCGGCTGTACACCTGCACTTCGTGCTGTTTCCTTGGCTTATTTTTTCCCTCTTTCCAGGCTTTCTGTTGCTCTTTTAACAGTCCCTGCCTTTCAAACTGCATAGCTCTATTTCTATTGGTTACTTTTTCAGGTCCTTCTGACTCTGATAGAAAGAAACATCTAACTGGTCCCTCAAAGCAATGAAACCAGAACCTCAATAGCAGGAGCAGATTTGGGTAATGAACCATTTTTTCACTACATTCTCTGAGCAGCAAGAAGAGAACTCTGATAGAATTGGACCCCTAATTCTGTACTTAATTGGTTATAAAATGGCTATTCTGTGGAAGAGAGGTCATACCCTAAGGGAAGATTAACTATGCTCTTCATGTGATAACCTTGAAGATTCGAGATGGTATGGAGAGGGAGAGAGAGGCTATGGGGATGTGAGACACAAAAGATAATGGAGAAGTTGCTGCTGAAACTGGGAAAGGATTTAAAAGTGTGAGTGTCAGAATCTTACATTCAGCTTCTCCTATAGGCATACAGTTTGGGTATTACAGTTCAAAATTCATCAGGCAGGACTTTGAAAAATCAATATAGGACAGAGTTAAACAGTAGCATGAGACATAAGTTTAAGTGAATAAGAATTTCAAGCAAGTGCAGTGCAGACTCTCAGAAGGTCTTCAGAATATCAGAGGGGTTTGGGGGACATGGCGAAGATGACCTAAATGTGGGCCAGCCCAATATAACCCTTGCAAGTCTCTAAAAATATAATTCATGATGATGTATCATCAGTGTATTGGTGGCAGTGGAGGGTCAGGACTTCTGTTAGGTTTCATTTGTCTTAACTCTCCCCAGTTGCTGGTAAATCAGAAAGGTTTCAATGTGGAAGGAGGAAGAAGACAGGTGAGGGTAGGCAGATTTATGGAACCACTTGGCAGACCATGTGTCGCAGGGCCGGAGATAGCTTTAGAGGAAGAATTGACAGTAATTTCTAGTAATTTCTAAGCCCTCGAGTTCCCCAAACCTGCTTGTATAAAGTGGTCTTTTTAAAAAATCAATGCGTAGAGGAGATCTTAATGTTCCCCTGAGGTGGTTAAGATGGGAGGTTACTGAGAAAGCGAGGCTGAGAATCAACAAGCCTGCTTTAGACCTCAATGCTTAAATTGCCTTTACAGGACAAAGAAAAGACTGGTGAATGACTCAGATTCAAATGTTGTGATTCAAAGAGCTTTTCTATTTGAGTCATGCCCAAGAAGAGCCTTATTCTTATTCCAGGTTTGGAATTGCCTCTAGGTTCCTGCTCAGAATCACTATGTCAAGGGACACACTTAAGTGTCCACTCCTGTCAACAGCAACTAGGAATAGACCAGCGCTGGTGTATTGCTCTTCTAAAGTGCTCCAATGGATTTTCCCTGAGAATTTGAGTTGTTCCTCGAGGTTAGGCTCGGTCAGGGATGAACTGGACCCTGCCAATGGCTCTTCTCTCCACCTTCACCCTGCCCTGCATCACAGCAGATTTCCAGGATAAAGCAGGGTCTCTAAGAACTAAATATGAACTAGAATACCTGTAAGCTAACTCTTGACTTGCCACTAATTAATGCAGATTATCCTCTTACCTTGTCCCAAGCCCTTCTGTCACCCACCCTCAATCTTGGCCTTAGCAACCAGGAATCCCAAAGATAAGACTGTTTCTACCCTTAATCTAAAACTTTTGTCTTGCCCCATGTATACTTAAGGAATTCAGACAACTAAGCATTTGGGCAACTCATTGCATTCATCAAACCTGATGGGACGAAGAAAGCTGTTTTGGGGGTGAGGAAATAATAAAATTAGCCTGATTCACACTAAGAAGTTGCTATTGATAGAAAAGTATTTTGAAACTATAACATGATTCATATGTGCTAAATAACTAGTAGAAGTCAGTGTCATCAACAGCATCGAATTAGAAGCACTAAACACTCAACTCTCAAACTTCACTGTTAAAAATGTTTCTCTGTTACTGCCACAGAGGGTCAGTAGTGAGACCCACTCTTTTCTTAAGCTGTCTCAATGAATGTTAGGTCTATAAAAGAGAAAGCAACAGAAGGAGAATATTTGTGCCATGTAACACTGCTAAAAAGGCCCTCGGTGAGGTAAGGAGCTAAATGTTTTGATTTCAAATTAATCTGAGACAGTATGGGAGAGTGTGAGAGCCTTGGAGGGTAAGAGACTTGGGATCCAAACCCAGCACCATCTCTGCCTAACTGTAAGAGCCCAGGGCTCTTTTGGCTCCATTTTCATATCTCTAGAATTACGGTGAGGGAGAGAGGACATCACATGAGTTCTGAGGTTCCTTTCTGCAGTAAAATTCTATTCTGTTCTACAAAGACTATTCCAAGATGACTTTGAAAAACATTTTAAAAAGAGAGGTACAACCTAGTACTTGGGACAATAAAAATTAGGCAATACCAAAAGAAGAGCTATCGTATGTGGTGAAACAGATGTTTTATTTAAAATTGAAAACCTACTCTGAAATCCCGTTGGTATAATTTTTAACACAATGGATGCTTAGAGTTTCCAGATGAGTCATTGCTATGACCTTGGATAATGGAGAAAGAGATGATTTCTAAAATCTGTTACTTAATTGATTTTTAAGGCTATTACTAAGGTCAGTATCAGACCCCACTCCAGAATATAAAGATTGCAATAATGAAGCTCTTTCATTTATCATGGGTTTCCCTCTGCTTCCTTTCCCCCTTTAGTCTTCTTCTGGGACTTTTCAGAAATCAGGAACCACCTCTTATTTAATCAATCACAGGGTTAGCAGTGGCCATCAGAGAGATTGTTTCAACACTTCTGCAAATCAAGATCAAGTTGATCACAGGACCCTGAATTCATTGCATCTTGGTCTGTACTGTTTTGCAATGAGATGTAGAACTCCAAGCAGGGAGATAAGTGGGAAACAGGAATATCAATCATTCTTCCTGCCTTTTCTCCTCTATTTTGAATTGGGTTCTGTGTAAGTCACCTCTTATACAAGTTTTTTTTTTCATTTTCTGAGAATTTGGTTAAGAGTATAATTTGTTTTCTCATAAGTCTGAACATCTCCACAGCCTAGGCTAAAAGAACCATCTCACTTTCAATCTTTTTAAGCTTTCGATGATTTCAGAACAATTCTGCCTGAAGATAAGGAGTGACTTCTATTAAATAAAATGCTATAGAAGCATGATCATCGCCTGAAGTGTGATTTTTTTAAAAAGCCTGTCATGGAGAAATATTACATTAGAGTTTAAAGTTCAGTATGCAGGTTCTATCCTCTTTTAATCTAGCACTAGTTGATTTTCCTGATCTTAAAAAAAATATATTCTATTTTCTATTCATTCTCAACATGCTTCATGGAGTTTCCCACTTAAGGCACAGCTTGATTGAAAATCAGCACCTTGGGTTTCCAAGGAAAGATGGCGACGGGTCTGAGCTGCCGTGCCAGGAGACAGCGTGATCCTGTGAGCGGTGCGCTGTGATACCAGAGTATTGTTTGCATTTCCAAGAGCAACAAAAGGCGAATAATTCT